GCGCATTTGCGACCACGGTCGAATTTGATCGGCTGTGCTTGGTGCACAGCTTCCCGAACTGCGAGCTGAGATCCAGAGAGAAGAACAGCCTGAGGTCGCACGAGTACGCAGTGCTCTGGCATATGCGACCCACGAGTTCTTCAGGCCTCGTCTCGTGCCCGTGCCTGCCGTGCCTGCCGTGCTGCCAAAGAGCGTTGCCAGGTCGAACGGATTTATGTACGTGCCAGCCTTGGGTTAAGATGTCTTTCGGAAGCCTGACTTCCGAAGTGACGGCAAAGGTGCACACTCCGTTGATCACTGCTGCCGATTGTGAGGGAGCCGGCGAGATGTGCAGTTCTCAGACCTGCTGCTACGGTAAGTCGTCTTCGCTTGAGATGTGGTGCATGGCAGATGGCAAGCATCAAGACTAAGAACCTGCTTATGCAGGGCATGATGTGCAGACCAAGGTTCCAGGTGACGACCATGATGGCCGAAGCTGAAAAGGATGGCAAACCGCTTCCCCTGGTCAATGGCAAGGCCTTCCGGAAAAGTTGTGCTGATGCTTGGTGGGGAAGTAACCCGCATCAGCTCAGCATCCTTGCTTGCAATCTTTGCTTTGAGTGTGCCTTGCTTGCAGTTTGACTACACGAAAGACTTCTTCCAGAAGCCCGCGTTCCTGACGGTCAGCGGGCAGCGGGGGGTCCCAGCAGTCCGCTTCTGCCATGCAGTGTTATCGGATTTGTCGAAGAATGTTTTCATCTCCTTTGACTGAGGCTGTCTGTGGAAAACTACTGCTGCGCCTTGTCCAAGGCCTGCACAGGAAGAAGCGCCTTGACAAACGGCCGGCATCATGGTTTTTGGCGAGGTCTACACCTTCGGACCGACCTTCCGGGCCGAGAACTCTCACACCTCCAGGCCTCCCAGTGCGCTACTCCGCTATTCCGCTACGCGCTGCTCTCCGGGAGAAAGCGAGCCAGGCACTTGGCGGAGTTCTGGATGATCGAACCCGAGCTCGCCTTTGCCGACATCCATGACGACATGAACGTGGCAGAGGCCCAGGGGATAAAGAGCGAGAGAGCGAGCTACTCATGCTCCGGCGAAGGAAGGAAGTGAGCTGCAGCTCGGTGTACTGCCAGGACTACTTGAAATACTGTGTCCGCTATGTCATGGAGAACCACAAGCAGGCCTGAGATCGTAGTTGCACGCCCTAGACATCCGATGGGAAGCCTTGCTCTCTTGATGAACGCCTGTTGCATGGAGAGGACCTGGATTTTTTTGAGGACAAGATCGAGAAAGGGCACGATGCTAAGCCTAGTCACTAGTCTCTCTGAGGATGAGACCTTTCAAAGAGGGAGAGCTCCTGAGCCCTGAGCAGAAGCTGCAGGTTGATAAAACGACTCGAGAACTTGCTAGCGGAGCCATTTGCTCGAGTCACCTACACGGAGGCCCCCCCTAATGTTTTGGCCCCACTTGCTCGGAAGGGCGATCACGGCGATCTCATCAGGCGATAGACATCTTGCTCAAGGAATCGCCCAAGGCCAAGTTTCAGGCCGCCCTTGGGAGAGCGAGTTTCCAAGGGGTGAAAAGTGAAAGGAGAGCTCAGCTCCTGCAATTTTGAGGTGCCGGTAGAGTGGGGGATGGACCTCGGCTCTGAGCATGAACGCCATCTGGCAGAGAAGGCAGCTGAGACTGCAAGCTGCTGGGTTCTGGGCACCTGCAGATGTGGAGTGCAGGTCTTCAAGAAGCCAACAGTGGTGTACAACTACCCGAAGGAGCTGCGAGTGCATGCCCGGCCCATGACAGTCTCTTTTCAATTCTGAGACCCAAGAGGACATAAAGGCTTTCTACATGAGGCTCAACGAGGACAGGCTTAGTCCGGGGGGGGACTTGAAAGGCGATCTCATGGCAAAAGGCCTTCGCCGCTTCGATGGGTAGTCGGTTTTGGGACGAACAGGTGCATGCGGGCTGTACTCAATGCGAGGACAACAAGACAGTCGCTGCCATGGATGTCCTTGCACCAGCGATAGGGGAGGCCGTGGTGACGTTGGCATGCGATTGTGGATCTTCTGATCACGTGTCTACACACAGGTCATTGGAGGTTCCCAGCGCGAAGAGAGGCTCGCTTCCTTAGGTTCTGCACTCGGTTGCAAGAGGACGTTGGAAGTGCCAGGCTGGACGTGTTGGACAGACGCATCACCGAAATGGACCTCAACCCACAGGACTATTGGTGGCGTCCCGCCGGCAAGAGGTCTCGCAGCACGTTTTGGCAATCTGAACTGAAGTACGAAGCTGTCGTGTCGAACGATATCGACCGCAGCCGGGCTTGTCTGCCAAGCTGCGCTGTGGTTTGCCGCCAACAACAGCAACTGCGGAACAAAGGTACAGAGACCTGAGACGTTATGGCTCCGTGCCCCACTCTGGCTTTGGCCTGGGTTTCGAACGGCTGATCATGTTGTCGCTTGCCTGCAGTATACGTTGCGCTTGAGAACATCTGATGCTCATGCGCAGGCCGTCTTAACTTTGAGCTGACTTGTTGATGAGGACCACCGGCGTCGAAAACATCCGCGATGTCATTCCTTACCCGCGGACACCTGCCTGCATGGACATGGGCCTGCACATTCAGTCAGGATATTCAGTGTACCGGGTCGAGCTGCTACGTCTTCTTTATTGGCTGAAGGTATCCTGGACATGCAGAGTTCTGAGAGCACTCTCCAACTGCCGCTCGAGCGGAAAAATCCGAAGCATGTGCTGGGCTTGCTCATTTCCCGTTCGTCGAGACAGCTCCTCGGCCAGCGTCTGCGAGCTGCTTGTGCTTCGAAGAGGTCTCCGGTTTCGTGGTTTTGGCTCTTCCTTCGATGAAGTTATCAGAGTCTGTAGATGTGACCATTCGCCACAGTCTTCCTCCATGATCCTTTCGTTCGAGACAAGCTCCATGGTTCGGGCTGATGGCGGCGCTGAGCTGCGAGTGCTTCTGGGCGAGTCCAGACGCTCTTGCCCAAGCTGAGAGTGTAGCTGTGCCGCTGAAACTTGAGCCAAAGTGGTCCATGTCCAGGCCTCGGCAGCCAGCCCGGCGGGTATCGAAGCAGTGCCTGGAGAGACCGTCGACACCTGGAGAAACCTCGAGCCTTTCGAGGCACGAGGAAAAATGCAGGGCCATCTGAAAGCACAGCTTTTCCTGGCTGAGGCCCGCTGCTCCCAGGCACTTCTTTCAGCTGCCGTGGCAGCTGTGGCGTGGCGGCTGACGGGCTGCCTCTTGGCCACAATTCGGCATGCATCTGCAAGCTGCACAGTGGACGGTATGTGTGGCAGGTCCTGCAAAGCTAGAGCGTGCTGGTTCCTGAGGTGACGCTGCACAACTGACATGTTGCTTCACCGGCGAAGAAGCAAGGACCCCAGCAAAGCATTTGAGTGTTCAAGTGCTTCCCCCAGATAATGGAAACTGCCGAAATGTCAGGTGCCTTTGCTGTCCTTGTGCCGCAACGGCTCTGTGTCACTCCAAGATGTGGAAGCGTGTGTACAGCAAGCGCTGCTGTCCCTCAAGGACCCGTTCCACATTGTCTACAAGCCGACGTGCATTGAAAGCTGTGCTCGCAGGAGGGATCGTCGGCGCCGACTTCCGACGGCGCCAGCGGATTTGCCGCAATCTGTGTCTTCGCTGCAAAATCCTGCAGGGATCTGTAGGGGCTAGCATGCTCTGGCTGGCTCTGGTTCTCGCCTCGTAACAGTTGCTGGAGCCAGGTGCAGAAGCCCAGGAGTTGGAAGCCGTGGCAAATCCGCTGCAGCTGCACCTCACCGGCAGGCCTGGACCCTCGTGATTCAAATTTTGTTCCGTTGTTTCACCACTGACCGCAGGCATGATGTGATGAAAGTGCAAGTGCGATTTCGGCAACTCGATGGTAACAAGGCGCTTGGAGAGCTGCCTGTCTCCTAAGCCCGGAGAATCCACGGTCAGAATCTGCTGCTCTGCGCCCGTCGACGCATGAAGACAGTCCTCCTCTGCTTGAAGGTCTGGGTGTTTGCCAAAGCGCTCGAAAGCTTCTTGGAGGCTTACGACCATGGTAAAGGCACTCAGATGTGCATGAAGCGGATTTGAAAGACCTTTCCAGAGACGTGCCGTGCAGGCGATGTTCCCATCTCCGAGCTGGCTGTCTGTCCCCAGGCTCGATGCCTTGTTACTAGCGTGCAGCCGACTCCCCGCGGGACTTGCAACGCCCGTTTCAACACAGCGCGAACTCCAATCTGCATGGCAGATCTTGGCAGAGGGTGATGGCGGCGTGCGGGTTTTGAAGCTTGAAGTGTTTGACTTGCATGTATCGTCGAAGACAACTAGAATTTGACTTGGATGTCCGGCGGGCTGAGAGGGCCACGTCCATGCTGGTTTTTGAGGATATTTAGACCTCGTTGTGGGACACCTCCTACAATCCTAATATCGAATCGTCGAAGGAGGGGGTCAGTCGTCACAATACTTTTCCAAAACCACCACCAAGAGGCATCACAGACATGCCCGGCAGCTGGCAAGATGAAGCTTTAAGTGCGCATGCCAGATTTCCCATCGTGAGGGTGTGACAGCAACAGGCATGTTTAAGGATCAGATTCCCGAGCAGGGCAAGCAAACTTCGCGAGGCAGAAGTGTCTTCATTTCTGAAGAACCGCCAATCCTAAGTCATCTTATCGACCTTGACCTTCACATCGGGAATTTGGATTCGATCCCCGAACAGACTATTTTCCTTGAAGGCTCGGGATTGAGGGCGCTCACATGTCATTGATGGACATGTTTTCAGGTTTTGTTGAAGAACATAGAAAGGTACTGAGGCTGGTCGGTTGCTTTTTGCATGTTGTGACACGGGGCATCTTGTCTGACGACTTCTATCGCCGTCTCGAAGCCGGCGCGTTGCCGGATCTCTGAATGTGAAATGTTGCCGGTGTTCCTCTGAGATTTCGTCCTCACTTGCTCCTGCTCAGGGCGTGCAGCAGGTGCTGGTGCACGACTTCAACCAGACCCAGCATTCCTTTGCAGGCCCATGGCCAGCGGCCACGAGACGCAGCGTTGAGAGTGTGCGAGTGGAGCCGAGGCGATGGGCCGCTCGACCGCGCTTGGGGGGCCTTGGCTCGGGATAGGGCACCCGTGCAGCAGAGCAAAATCGTGAGAGCCGAGGCTTTTGCTGCACGAAGTGATACGCTCGCGTGCATCAACTCTTCCACAGGACTGAGCTTTCCAAACGCCGGGGAGCGAATTCGTACTTGCGAGCTGCTTTCGCTTGCAGGCCCATGTCGCAATCGAGGAGCCAGATGGGACGGCCGGGACCTCACGGAACATGAGTTTCTTGAAAGTGTGCCGTAAAGCGTGCGTGCCCCCCCACCCCGCCCCGGGGCCCGGCTCCAGGTCGTCACCTACGCCTCGCTGCTGCGCTGCAGCGGAGCCTTGGCCGCGGCGCTGCGACAGGCGCGAGCTGCGCGGCTCCAAGGCGATGGCGACGGGGGAAGTCGGGGCGAAGTTGGCGATGGAGTGAAGTACCGACGGAATTCTCAGGGAGTGGCCCGGTCGCCTTGTGGCTCCCACGCAATCGACATGCTGTCACCCTCGCCCTTGCAGCAATGGAAGCCCCTTGGTATCATGAGACAGCGACGTTTTCTTTGCGTTGAAACCCGCGGCCTGGCAAAACCTGCTGCTGCGGTACTTGGCTTCCTTTCCAAGGCGGGTCAGGGCTACCTGCCTTGTGATGAGAAGCTCCCCGCGAAGCGGGTGTCTCGCCCAACTGTTGCTCGGAAGTCTGTGGGCGGCTGCGCTGCACTCACCTCATGCGGGTCGATTGCTTGGCAGCCAGAGGCCATGCTTCTGCCGCCGTGTGCGCAGGTGCTGGTGATGCTGCGCACAGCTGGGGCCGGTCTGCTGGTGGCCTCGCGAAAACTAATAGAGGCCATAAGCTCTGAGCAAGTGGCCTTGAAGCGTCAACGCAGAAAGCCCGGAGCCGTGAGAAAAAGTGTCGGAGGAGAACACAAGAGAAGCTGCTCAGGCTCAGGCCATGCAAGGCCCTCGTCTCGTTTTCTGCGACGGGAAGACACGCATGACATAAATCCTGGGTCGGGTTTCGTCAGGCCCAATCTTCCAGCTGACCGTGGAAGCTGAAGGCTTCGTCACGGCTGCTGAGCAGGGCAGCGCTGAGGCATGATAAGACGAAAGTCAGCTTAGAAGATGCCGACTCATTTTAGTCCAGACGTCCCAGTAACAGGCAGAGATTGGCAGCGGCATAGTGTTTTTCGAGTTCGGTTGGAGGCGTGGCTAGCCAGCTGCTTGAGCTTGATCGCGAACCAGCCCGGTGTTGCTCACCTTCAAAGGGGCATTTTGCCCAGGCGGGTCTGGTACATGATCAACACCACAGTATGCAGATTGCTGGTAGTGCATCGGGGACAGCTGCGACCCACAGGCATGTCGAAGACGAGAGCGATAGAACGCAGCAGCTGGCATATGCCGCCTGGGCTTGCGATTGGAAGAGACTGCTCGTCGCCATGGCCGCAATCGTTAGCCCTTGGCCTCACCAAGGTCATCTTCACATCAGGTTCAACTGGACAGCCGAAAGGGGTTGCTGTCTCCCACCGATCCATTGTTCATTTGATTGAGCCTTGGATCTTGCCATCGCGGGTACAACTAAACGTGCGAATGCGGTTGACCTATGACTGTGGTGATGTCTTCCGTTGTCTATTTGCGTGCTGTTCAGCTTTTCTGAATCAGGAATGGGTAAACACGGTCTATGATATCAAGGACCGAGGGCATTCAAATCTTATCTATTCACTCTGATAGTCAGTACAGCAGGCAGGGAAGGCCGCGGGACGTTAGATGCCAGATGCTGCCACCTTTTAAAGAACCGGATGGTTGAAGCAGATGCTGCACATGCTATTCAGAGCAAGTCTGGCCAAGCTGTGCATGGGTTAAGTAGCTAAAGCCCTCGCATTAGACTCAGACATCACGCCACGAACAGTGCAGGCGGAGGAGACCAAGATGCAACAGGAGCAGGATCATCATAAGGAGGAAGAGGGGGCAGGCGGAGCAGAGGCGATTAGCGGGCGGTGTGGCAAAGATGCAGAGCGTAGGAAGCGGGCAAGCCAACCGCTGACTATGGTGACCTACCACCCAACTGCGTGCTTCTCGAGGAAGGCTTCTAGCTTGCGTTGTAGCCCTCAAACACCTGGAGAGCGAGTAGATGTCAGGTCCTGTCCAGAGCGGAATATTCCCAACAACAAAACTTAAAACAGGAGCAGTGCAAACCGCAGCAAGAGATTTCAGAAAAAAATAATCATTCCGCTGCATCATGTCCACGCAGAGCAGGAGTGGCACCCGGGTGAGATTTTGTGGCTCTCAGGAGTCAGACGTGCTGCTGTTTGTGACTTCCATCGGCTTCGACCTGTCCTGCTACGATATGTTTGGGACCCTGGCAGCCGGCGGCAGGAAGCTCGTCCGAAGCAGTTTCACTCTCAGTCGTGGGATTGTTGCCTGTCCTTGAAATGTAGGATACTTCTCGGAGCTTCCTCCCCGACTGAGCTGCAGCGGCAACTGCCAACGGCAAGCTGCTAATCTGCGATTGGTCATGGTTGAGAGGGGTCTGCTAGTGGTCCGCTGGCTTCAGCTCTTGCTCGGTCGTTGAGAAGATGGCTCTTTGCTGTCGTGAAACCGGCAACAACAGCACCCTGTGGGATGTGTTTGTAAGATTTTGAATTCCTGTGTTGACTTAACTCGCAGACCGTCTTGGTGGAGATGATAGAACCGTCCGCGCAGATCGCAATGGCATGCCTCCACTGGATTGGATTTACGAAAGCATGCGGCAAGACGCTTTTTGTTTTGCTCTGAAGTCCAGAGGACTTGGGAAACCCGGGCTTTCGGACGGAGGGCGCGTCTTTGAACGTGGCTCGATGCCCCCAGGCTTCTGGGACTCAGCACCTGCAGTGCTCCAGCTCCTGGAGCGCCGGGGCTGAAGTTATCGGCCTTCCTGGCCTTGTAACATCTTCACTGCCTACTTGCTGACCGCCGGTCTGTGGGTTTAGGATTTTGAACCGTTTGGGGCTTGTAAGCACCGTGCTAAGGCGTGTGGAAGACTTTCGAGACATTCGCACGGTTTTTCTCAGTGGCGACTGGGTACCCCTGGGGCTTGCCTCTTGACTGAGTAGCTCCGGGAAGAGGGGAGCAAGAGTGTCGTCCAATGTGCTTGATTGACTCCTCGCGTGTTTTTGCCATTTAGGGAAAGTCGTAAATTGAGTGCTGTGCAGGTTCGGGCCTTGCGCTCTGCCACTGCTGCCCGAATCGTAGCGCTGGGTGGGGCTACAGAGGAGCTCGGAGTGGGTCGCTTTAGGGTGTAGTAGTTTAGGGTTCAGGGCTTTAGACGCTTTCTAGCACGTCTCAACCCACAGGCCACTGTCTGGTCCAACTTCTTCGATGTGGTTGAAGTGGATCCCAAGTGGCGCTCCGTGCCCTACGGCAGTCCTATCTGGAATCACCAGCATCTCAGCTCAATGGAGTGAGGCTCCTAGCGTTGGTGCAATGGGAAAAGTCGAAATCACTGCTGCTCCGCCGAGGTATTACGTCTTGGACGAGAGTGGCCGTTTCGCGACTGTAGCTTTGCCGGGCATGGCCGGGCAGCTGTACATCGCAGGCGAAGGCGTGGCACGGCAGAGCGGGAGCAGAAGCATACTAGAGCCCAGAAAGGAGCGAGCGAAGAAGAGCACTCTAGGACTATGTCAAGCAGGGCTTACACAAGCTGAGTAGGGCTGTTAGGCTCCTTAGGATATGTCGGGTGTTGTTTCGAGGAGACTAGTAAGGCAAAAGCCGTATACTGCATGTAGTGCCATGTATGTCCAGCTGTGAGACGATGTGCTCCAGGCGTGGCCTTGGGATACATCGGCCAGCCGCAGCTCACAGCGGAAAGCTTTCGGGATGGATCTCTTCAGTTTGGTGGGGCCTTTCAGACGTCCAGGGCCTACCGGACTGGTGACTTGGTGCGCTTTGTGCCCCGGAGCTTCGGCGGCCTCGACACCGAGCTGGTCGCCTCGGAGCTGGTGTTGGAGTTCCTTGGTCGGGCAGACTTTCAAGTGAAGCTGCGGGGTCACCGGGTGGAGCTGGGCGAGATTGAGCAGGCTTGCTGCCAAGCCAAGCTGGCCACGGGACCCGTGGCTGCAGCCGTCGTCCTGGCGGTTTCCCAGAGGCTGGTGGCTTTCGTTGTGCCCCAGTCTGTCGACTCAGTCACCTTGCGCGAAAGCCTCATACAACACCTGCCATCCTACATGGTGCCTGATACGATTGTCACTCGTTCACAGATGCCGCTGACATCTAGCGGCAAGATAGATCGCGACCTCCTGGCGAAATCCTTGAAAGTCGCTGCTCCAAGAAGACAGCACGCTGATCGTCGCCAACCTGCCACAGAAGTGGAGCGACATGTTCTGGTCTGCTTCAAAGAAGCTCTGGGAATGCCAAGCTCGGCTGACCTGGGTGTAGACGACGACTTTTTTGAGCGGCCCAACTGCATGTTGGAGGGAGGTCCTTGACCCGTTGTGCGGTCTTCGCATCTTGGATTGCCTAGTCTATACTCTATGCTAGTTCACAAGCATACGTAGGCTCGGCGGCCAGTCGATGGCCGCGATGCGCCTGCAGGGGCGGCTGCAGCAGCTGTCTCTGCATCCTGCCTTATTGCTGCGTCTGTCGGAGTGCCTTTTTCTTAGAGAGTCTTCCTCTTCATCGCGGCACGAGGCAGGATATCTTTACGCTTCGCACTGCGGAGAGGAGCATCGGACCGTGCTGTTTCGCGAAACCCAGAAGTCTGTCTCTGCACGGGCAGGATCGCAGAGAAAGTCGATGGCGAGGGCGTTCCGATAGTGTCAGAGGATGCTTGTCAGCTGCAGGTGGAGGATTCCAAAGGCTGCGAGGCTCCAGCATCTTTCGGGCAAGAGCGCTTCTGGCTACTGGTCGGATCCCCAGTGCCGTCTGTGACTTGCAAGTTTTCGATTCCCTCCGTGTCCCTGGTGCCCTTTGAGGAACGCCTGCAGCCCGGGACCGGGACTTACGGGATCCAGTTCGCGTACAGCTTGGAGGGCCCGGGCCTGAACATCCAACGTCTGGCCCGGGCTTTGGAGCAGCTCACCCGCCGCCACACGCCCCTGCGGACGGTGCTCCTCGAGGATGCCCAAAGAGGCGAAAGGGATGGCGTGCGGGGGGGGGCCGCTAGCTGCACAATGCTGCGCGTCCTCCTGGGCAGGCCTCTTGCAAAGGATTCGCCCTCCGACCGACCTGGCCGCGGAACACTTGGAAAAGCCAGGGCAGCTCCTTGGTTTGAGTATGAGTCATCGTGCTTGGAAGCACGCTGCGTTGCATCCTTGCAAGAAGAACTGCGTTTCGTGTTGATGCTTGATACCTTGTATTGCTGTACGGAGGTTGGCTCCCTGGCTCTGGCTGCACGACCTTCGTCAATCCGTCGATGCTGACAAAGAGATGCAGGCCCCGCCGGAACAAGATACTGAATGCCTGGTTGCATCTACTTTGAGTGAGCGTGCGGGTACCTTTGTACTCTGCACTTCAATGGTGATCGTATCCTCTGTCCCTTGCAATGCCAGGGTCTGCTTGCGGCCGATATCTGTCAGGGCTTCGACCTGTCACATGGCGCCTCAGCTCGATGTCATTTACTGTACACATACACATACATGTATGCACATGATAAAAGTTTTAGTGCGCGCGATTTCACAATTTTACACCTTCACACATCCGCATGCCGTCTCTGCCCCTCCCTGTTTCTCCCTCTATCTCACTCTCTATCTCTCGCTCTCTCTCTCTCTCGCTCTTTGTCGCCTTGCATCTCTGTCTGTTTCGGTCCTTCTCACTCTTACCACAAAAAGCTTCTCAATAGCATGTACAGTATGCATCCGTGCGTATGTTTCCACTCGTTCATTTGTGCCGTATACATCTGTACGTAGTTGTCTACGCATAATTCCTCATGCATTTGTGCAGATGTAGATGCATTCCTGTGTGTCTTGATTTATGCATGCATTTGCAGACGTGCATAGGTTCATCGATGCGCAGATTGATACTGTCACATGTACACGTCTGTACACCCATGCAGAAATCATATTGCACATGGCAAAACTCCACACCTGCTTATTCAGATACACATGCACTAGAACAGACGGACCTCTACAGTACGGACATTGACCGCATGTTTACCTGTATGCATGCATGCGTAACTGATCCAAACACGCAGGCACACATTAAGTAGCTAGGGATCGATCCAAATTGATCAGCAGTCAGAAGAGACATATGATATCGGGCCTAAACAGCATCCCTACATATCCCAACCAATAAGCGAGAGAGCCGGAGCAGCTAGCTAGCTGAGTAAGCAACTACCCATGCAAACAATGAAGAACGGTAAACAAGCGGGAAACGCACTCATCGTATTTCTTGACACGCATTCATCCGTTTCGTGCATCCGTAGAATTTGCACTTGCACGTGTAAGTGCGTACTTTTTCCAATATTCAATCTGCCTATATCGTGTCTACACCTATACATGCAAGCATGCTGGCTGACATCCACCTCGGGTTTGGCTCCTGTGCGGTTGTCTCGAGGTTGACGCCTGGCTCGAGTCCCATCTTCCGACGTTTCAACTGTATAGCTTATGGGTTGTTAGGACCCTACATGTACAATTGCAATCATGTATGCATGTGCAGAGTAGACATCTTCATATACGTATGCATACGCATAGCATATGCATGTAATTCTACATACATGTATATATATATATATATGCATACATACATACGTACACATGTATACGTATGATTTACACACACGCAGAGAAGAGCTATTTGGTGTCTGCAGGCCCTTTGCGGATTCACCTCTTGCGACTGTCGCCCGATCCAAATCGCTCGAGCATCAAGCTCTTGCCACTGGGCTCTGTTATGGGACCTCGTACCATCTACTTTGATTATCGTGGCCATTCGCAGGAAGCGATTCTTTGTCCATTTCCACAAAGGCTCTTCGTCCACGTGCACCATTTAGCCTTCGATGGGGCCTCTCTGCGGTGCTTCGAAGGGGATCTGTGGTCTCTCTACCAGGCACGAACTAGTTTGTGGTTCTTCACAGATTCGCGGCACGGCGCAAACTGCAGCAGGGATTCTATTCTGCATGGACCCAGCCTACCAAGACTTCTTGCAGAGATGTGCTCGAAGTTCTATAGGCTTGGGAGACCGTGTGGCAAGTCTCACAGCATGCCACTTAAGC